TGTGCGTCCACCTGTTTCCATGCTCACGGTGGTTTTGCAATCACCGGTAACTGAATGCCGAGGGTTAAACGATCTGTTTAAACAAGAGCACTACCGCATGCTACATGACATAGAAGGATTTCATTCATGGTTTGTCTGACAGAAGACATCTGAACCATGTCACCTATGAAGGAGGGGGCATTGCAAGACTCTTGACACTGTGGTTTCTACTTGCTGAAAATTGGTGTGTGGCAACAGCAAGCTCACCACGGGAATGACGGTCTCGTTATGAAGGTTTTGCTATGATTCCACTTTCCCATAGGAGTCCAGAGGCTCTGGGAGACAAGAGCCTGCCCAGATAAACAGCAGCAGAGCTGTGTGTCTTCCTGATGACTGAGGGACTCACGTGCTCTGCTCCGTGACTGGAGGACTCACCTCACTGGCCAGGTCTCTCCTAGCTTTGGCCGTCAGGAATGTCAAGGAGTCCAGTCTCAGCTCAAACCCTTTCGCCTTCTGCCTTTCCCAGCTGCTCTTGTACAGTGTCTGGGGAGATGCAGGAGAAAGAGGTCATCAGGCACACACACATGCTGAAGACCCATGACAACCCATCGAGCAAAGGCTGGGGTTAGCTTCACTTTACTAATGGACACCCAAGAATAAAGATTTGGTCTAAGGTTACACACCTGGCAAGTGGTAAAATTAAGGACCAAGGTTTGGAGTCAACAGCTGGGTGTCTTTCTCCACCACTCAATTCTGACTCTTGGAATGACTGCTCTTCCACCCACCATGATCTATTCAGTAACTTAAGAGCCCTGCCCGCCATTGCCAGGAAAGTTGTTTTCCTCCTCCCTAAAGCAATGGTCAGGAACCAGATCTTCTGGAAAGACCAAATAGACTGTAGTTGAACTAGACACTAGCAATGTGGCTGGTGGGTTTGATGACCGACTATAGAGACACAGGGGAGCACAGCCCACATCCTCCGGTGGTACCTCACTGAGCTGAGCAGCATTGGCCCGGGCTTGCAAGAAGAAAGGCTCATCTTTGCTGATGGTGTACTGATGGACAGAATGCTCGTTGCCGGCCTTGTAAGCCACCTGATGAGAGAGAGAAGGGTTGGCAAGGGATATGGGTGGGTCAGCCATCACAACTGGAGCCACATCGATGGATCAAGAACACTGAGGTAAATATAATAAGCCAGGCACCGACAAAGACCATACGATGTCACTCATCTGTGGGAACTGAAAAAGTTGACCTCATAAAAGTAGCAAATAAAGGCAAGAAAGGAGACAGGAGTCAGGGAGAATAGAGAGGATGCATCATGGGTACAAAAATACAGCTGCTGAGAGGTAGTTCTGTTATGTAGCGAGCGAGCATGCACGCACACATGCACGCATGCACGCGCACACACATGTAGGCCACCCATGGGCTACAGCATTAATTTTACAGTCTTGAGAGAAATACCAAGAACATGCAAGGTTCCTAACACATAAAAATCGTATTTGAAAATTAGAAATGCTAAATTACCCACACATGTAGGCCACCCATGGGCTACAGCATTAATTTTACAGTTTTGAGAGAAATACCAAGAACATGCAAGGTTCCCAACACATAAAAATCGTATTTGAAAATTAGAAATGCTAAATTGCCCTGGTTTGATCACTATACATTGTCTTTGTGTATCAGATTATAATACTGTACCTAAGTTTATTTATTGTAAGTCAATTAAAGGAAATGCATGCCTGTGCCTGTAATTCTAGCACTCGGGAAGCTGAATCAGGGGACTGCTGAGAGCTTGAGGCCAGCCTGGGCTATCGAGTGAGAGCCCCATCTCAAAAGGCAAAAGCAAACATATATATAAACAAATACGTAACACCAGGGCAGACATTAAGAGACAACACGGGAAAAAACAATGTTTAGGGACAGAGACCAGTGTGGACATCCTCCTCCAGGTTTGTTTTCCGCGTCTGGGTCCTTCCCTAGAATCGCATTGGCCTCCCAAATCTATTGTCCTCCACATTCCCCGTGAACATCAAAAATTACCCCCCCACCCAGAGGGCTTCGAAGCAGGCCAGGCAGGAAGCACGCCCCCTCCTGCACCCCACGATCAACCTTCGTATGCTGGGAGGGACTGACCTCAGGAAGTGGGCAGTGACCAGGCCAGCTTCTCCATGGAAACAGACCCCTGCTTTCTCTGCCCCTTACTGTTTAAGCAGAAGCTTTCTCCTGCCTCTGACAGCCCTCTGGTGGGGGTATGACATCTGATGGAGCCATGGAAAGGAAGGCTAAGAAGAGCAGACTGTGGCGGTTAGTGGAGTGGCTCTGGGGTAGACAGCAGTTTGTAAACCGTACAAATGGCAGCTTGTTGTTCTGACTTCCTTATTTGAACTTAACTGGCACACGGCCAAAAACAAATTCTCCTCCAGCATAAGTCTCTGTTAACCCAGAATTATAGTCTCGGATAAAGGACAGAACAAAGAGAAAGAAGAAAAGGGGTATGAAGAAGTCCTGGCAGCAGAAGAGGCAGCGTATCAGGCTATCTTGGTGGCTGGAGGAGAAACGGGCTGTGCAGACCAGGGAGGCGAGTGACTGATCTGCAGCATAGGCCTGAGGCATGCCAGGTCCAGCCTCAGCTCCTTAGCTGTGCCTGGGCAGCAGCTGCTGCTATTTCCAGAGATCCCAGGCCCATGACACAGCAAACTGGTGAGGGCAACCCAGGACTCACCGCACTCTGCAGCTCCTGGCTCTTCTTGGCGTGCTCCATCTGGGAGCTGTCAGTCACACTGGTGAACTTTAGCTCATCAACTCTCTGCCGGTAGTTTTTCTATTTCCAAAGAAAAGGTACCCCATAGTGTTAGGATGAGTATGCCCTCTTCTACCATACACACATGCACGTGCGCGGGCACTCGCACACGCACACACACACACGCACACACACACACACGCACACACACCACATACACACACACACTCACATTTTTTGTACTTTTTAATGGCTC